ATGAGTTGGCACTCACTCGCTGTGTGACTTAAATAGGTTCACCAGGGAGCTCCAGCACAGCACGAGCGACCGATAGTTGCATGTTGGAGTGGTCGTTGTATTGTCCGATTTTTGCCATTGACCAGTCCAGTGAGACATATTTCGGTCCCATGACGGTCGCGCAGAAAACCTTTTTCTATTGTTTCTTTAACAAATTGCCGTGAGTTCACTTTTCCTGAGCGCAAATGCCATCCACACTCACCGGAAATCGGATCTCATATTTTCGTAACGCAATATTCAAAGTGTTTGAGTGACGGATTTGTGACCAAAATGTGTCTCACTGGTGCTACTAGGGGCGCACAAATCGGTCTCTCAGGGGCAGTCTATCGGTCACTCTCGCTGACAGGGTGCACGGATATATTAAACAGAAATGACTCATAAGTTAAGTTCGTCAATGCTAACGATGCACTTGAAAAGTTGTCGTATTTGTACATATTGCGCTATCTAACTTCTTGTATAGTTCATGTTTATAAGAATAAGTTAAAACGTAAAACTAGGACAATCAGTCGTCTAATTATGTCAACAATGTCCATAGGTTGAGCACATTGAAAGAAGACAATAAAGCATGTGGAGCACTGCAAAATTTAAGAAAAACGTGGGTTAACAGCGCCCTCCGGCACAACCACTTTCGATGTGCCGCAGTTAATGCGCATTACTGACCTTCACTTTCCGCGCCACTAGGGGTACTTGATGTTTTGCGTAGCACGCTGGCTTCCAAATGGCAGTTGCTGTCCGACAGTAGACCTGCATAATTGTTTCCAGTTCTGAAGCGATTCAGAGCACATACTGGACGAGGGCCGCGGACAGAACACACAGGACCAGCAGAACCTCTCTGGCAATATTTCATCAATTTGTTGTTCTCATGTTTACCCTTTTTGCACGATCCAATGCGCTGTTTCGTGAAATAAGTTGGACAGTATATAGTCAATTGGAGAGCAAGTTAACGTTTTTAATTTCGCAGATAGTTGTCTGAAATTAAGCCATGTTCTCAGTTAGTAAGTCGCCAAAATGTTCGGCTTATTAGACGTTTGCCAACAGAGCAGCTGTAAAATACATGCACGGAATTGTTAGAACACGACGGTTACTAGCAGGTCATTTTACCCTCGTTACCAAGAGTATATATATATATATATATATATATATATATATATATATATATATATATATGCAAAAGTCTACGAATAGACATAAAGCTTTCGGACATCATGGGACTCAAAAGAAGGTACAGAAATAGTAAAAGAGAACGCAACACAACACATCAAGGTCCATAGTTTCGTCAGAGGGCGAGATACTACCCGGTTGCCAAAGCGGAAGTAGGGTGTTGACTTAGGGGACACCACCCCGAGCCTTTGGCTGAATAGCCTGCCCGCAAGACAGCGGAGAGAATTCAGAGAATCGCGCCCATTGGGAGCCGGTGACAGATTGCTGAGTTCATACGCCTTTTGTTTGTTCCTTTTTCGAACAGGGGCCCAATGCACCCCAGAATTACAGCATAAATTTGCTGGAATACAATGCTTCGCCAAGATGAAGCAAGGGGCAGTGACGTTATTTAGTGGCGAGTCACAGTGTCGTTAAACGGACATATGTGGCTTTTTATAAGGAGAACGTTTGCCAGGCGAAAACCCACCACTTCCTGGAACACTGCTGCCGAACCATTTGCTGGAACGGGGAAATTCTGAAGCACCCAGCTGGCACCATGAGAAGGTTGCTGGGCAGGTCTGCCAGTTGTTCGGCAAGTCTGCCTAGAGACACCTAGGCAATATGTACTAGACTGGTGAATAAACTTTATTGTTCAATTTCGCACCTAGTTTAGTACGTCATACATTTGGCAACTTTTTTAGCACACTTTTCGGTTTCTATGAGCCTGTGAGCAGTTTCCATATTTGACTTTTAGAGATTACTGAGTTTTGGCTGAACTAGACTATATCATAACTCTAGGACTACGTAGTCATATTGCGTGATAGATGGTTACCGGATTGGAAATGAATAGCAGCTTTCCTGAGACGTCCAAAAAGTAATGCAACATCCAGTTAGCTAATGGGTTCCTTATACATTAATCACTTACAAACAAACAAAATAGGATACCACGAATTGTTGCCTAACTTTTGAACGCCAGGAATAATTGTCATACGAGCCCGCCCAGCTGCTCCCGCGAGGGAATAATAGCTATCTATATTTTATTGTGTGGGGCTATCTGAAAAAGCACTAATTAAATAGTGAGTAAACATCTATAGACAACTGGGATATTGATTGTCATTTGTGATGAAATCTCAGAATAATGTGCTTTTTATTGAATAATCTTGGCATATTAAACAACTTATTCGCCCATTCTGAGCGAACATATAACACACTTATACGGAAAGTCGTACACGGGGTTTATTAAAATTAAAGTAAATAAAAAGCTAGTGTCAAAGCTTGTTTGAGGTAACGGCAAATGTGCAGTCGTCTGCAATGCTGGTTAAAATGATATAATAAAACTCCTATTCTCCTTGGTGACAAAAGGTCTGCAACCAAGTTATCCAGCTCTACGAACAAGTTAGTCTCATAATATTCGAACCGCACTAATTGCATTTCGAACCATTCAAAATGTCACTAAGACGAAATTAAAAACCCTAACCAAAATAGTTGAAAAACTTGAAGCTATTAACGAGTAGCATGGTTTAGAAGCGGCTTAGCACTGTAAAGCAATGATAAATAATAGCGAAAGAGCCAAAAAATAGCTGCATGGAAGTTCTGTTGGCGTGAATTTGCTGTTTTGCGTTAAACTGAAGCCAACCTATAACAGATATCGAAATGATCATGGAGTGTTGCTCATAAGTACACTGCTTGGTCTGCCGAACAGCCCCTCGTAGGCGAGAGTATCTTGATCCGTTGAATGGTCCAACGGTAGTGTTCCAATATGTAGGGGTGTTACCTTGCAAACCTATGCACCACAAAATCACAAAAGTTCACTTAAGAACGCATTGAAGCATTTGTGGTTCACCACTAACTAATGTCACTTTCTCCTGCACCGCCTTAGTGTGGTATTGGGTTCCAGCAAACTAGCGCTAAAATTGTGGAGATAGTTTAGCTTCTTCTCAGTACTGGGGCCACGTTTATTTTTAACATTCATTAACGACCTTGCCAGTGTACTACAGTCGAACTTCTTGCTGTTTGCAGATGATGTCAAAATTTGGCATGACATCCGGACAGAGGACGATCACACAACACTGCAGAGCGATCTGGACAGGGCGTACACTTGGTCATCCGAAAACATGCTCCACTTCAATGTCGCCAAGTGCAAAGTCGTGAGCTTACGCCACCAGCTCATCCATGAATACTTACTCGGGGACCAGCCGTTGCAACATGCTTCCCAGGAATGCGACCTCGGAGTGATCGTGCAGGACGACCTTGGCTGCTCCAGACAAGCTGAAAAGGCATCGAAAAGGGCCAGTCAACATCTCGGACTCTTACGGAGGGCTTTCGGAAATTTCGAGCCATCTGTATTTCCGCAAATGCTGAGCGCTTACGCGAGACCCCACGTGGAGTATGCGATCCAGGCCTGGCGTCCCTGGCGCAAGCGCGACATCAGTGCACTTGAAGCTCCACAGCGTAGAGCAACGAAGCTCGTCAGAGGCCTGTTTCACATCCCCTACCAACGCAGACTGCAGTCTCTGGGATTGTACAGTGGTGAATATCGTCGTCATCGAGGAGACCTCATCATGGTCTACTTAATACTGATGAATCCAAATCACCCATGTCGCAGTCTCTTGCAGCTGAGCCAAAATACCAACCTGAGAGGTCATCAGCTCAAACTGGCTACACACTACAGCCGACTTGATTGTCGACGAAACTCTTTCTCACTCCGTGTGTCCCGTGCTTGGAATGCGCTCCCAACTCACGTCGTCCTTGCCCCCACATTGGCACTATTTAGAAAACGCCTAGATGACACACTTTCCAACTTGCATTATTTGGCATAGCACGTCCTATTCGGAGGACGAAATAACGAGACCCAAACCATGAGGTTACTGACCCTCCCCGCAAAGTGGCGGTGATGTTACATACAGAAGTGTCCCAATGAGCGACATGGATGTATACAAACTGGAGTAACGTACCACATCTCTCAACGGAAGCAACACACGAGTGAGCGTTATCCGTTTCATTGATTTCTTTTTCCCACATTTGCTGTAATATAACAGCTCTACTTTGGGTGCAGACATCCAGTCCATACTTCAAACAAGCATTATGTAGAGGCATAAAAAACGATTTACTTGTTCGATTATCCTTCCATTTTATCTATTGCTCCAACCACCCTACGGGACCTGTCAAGCATATGCTTTTTACCCGTTATAAATCATTGTTCATTGTTCATTATCGCTAACAAATAACATAAAGAGGGCACGAGCTAAGAAACCGGCCATTAACTCATGCCCTATTGTTAACCGGGAAGGCTGTTAAGTCAGACGATCGAGGCAGTGTTTCATAACGCGACTTCCCACTATACGGATCGCACAAACGAGTAGTACCCCGATTTCTGTTAAAACCAACGGAATTTACTTTTAATGTTGCATCGCATTCATGACAAACTTTCACTTCTGCGGACTTTATTACTCAGATTCCTTTACCATTTGCTAGCAAATATTGTTCGAAAGTACTTTCTCTTATGAATTCACTTCCAGTGCTAGTTTCATGGAGAATCAAATAGTCCAACTTGTTACCATCCATCTACCAAAGTCTACATTCCGGTTGTCAAAATTCATTGTGTGAATAATCATGCAAATAGCACAGCCCATTTATATGGTACGGGTACTAAAATCATTTAGCACAGATGTTTCCTGATTTTGCAGCATCCCAGCCCAGAACTACAACACAGCAGTTACGTTGACTTCCCTGCTGATACCGGAACCTGATGTTTACTGAATCTGTCTCGTAAGACAATAGAACTGCAGCTGAGTTGGCTAGTTTTGGCCTGGCAGTGAATGAAACCGCTAAAGCCGTGATGCTGGACTGGCTCCCGTTTGAAAACTGCCTGTGTGCAGTTCGGCTTCAGGACTCACGCAGAATCAACATCAACAACAGCAGTACATCAGCCATTTGAACTGATGCTTCGCTGCCATACAACCACGATGAGTTATGAAATAAAGAGTAGTAAGAGGAAGCGAAGGGGACTTACCTGAAAACTTTAATGACCTAACCAAACAATCAGGGCCAAGGCACTTACATCTTGTGTAGACAACATAACGTCGCAAACAGCTGGCTATCGCGCAAAGATAAGGCGGCATCGGTGAGACAACTTCCTTGCGGCTTTCACTGCTACGCGTCATAATCAGCCATTATCGTGCAGATAACTCAGCACCAAACACACTTTAAACAGGAAATCCGATTAGAAGACTGCAGCAGACGCGCCACTGGTGTCTACTGCGAGCCATGTCCTGTAAAGTCATGAGCCAAGCACAAAGCGAGTCACGTGGACTCCAGCCCGGAAGGCGAGACGGACCAACCGCGCCCAGTTTGGTGGTCAGTGACTTCAATTCCCACTGCTTCAACATTTGTCCACTTCGAGCTTTGCGCCACCCTACACCTGGCAGACTAAATAAGGCCCACCTAGGTAAGCCGTGACCAGGCATACGTAGCAGGTGCTCGAGCCAACGCAACTTATTCAGTGCTATCTGTTGTTCTAGGGAGCTAGCATGCTTATCACTACCTAGTACTCGCCTACGCACATCATCGTTGCGGGCACGCTGGTGCCATCCGACACCAGCAATGCTTCGCAGACAACGATGCTCAAAGACTTGAAGGCGCCTCAGGTCTTCAGACCGAAGGGGCCAAGTCTCACTCCCATAGAGCAGAACCGCCCTCACTGTGACCTTGTATACCCGGCCTTTCAGACAGAGGGAAACTCCCTTCTGTTGC